TTCAACAGTCAACTGTACCTACACTTATGATACTTATCAAAGATGAATCGAATGTATCTCATATCGAATTGACTTAATTTCTTAGTTCCTTTCAGATGATGAGCTGATTTCTTTTAGAATTTTTTCGTCGACCTCTACAAAAAATCACATTTTACGTTCTAATTTCCGAACGAAATCATCTAAAATGATTTTTCAGAATTTTTTTTCCGTTGCATCAGAAAATACAGGGTGCTCGGACCAAACGATCTACAGAGTACTACTTGATGTTTTCAAATGGAACACCCTGTATTTTATTATATTTTTATATTCTTCCTGAAGAGCTGATTTCATCAATGTATCACACTTGGGGTCTAGCAGGAATGATTACAGAGATATAGGGTGTTCAAAATCGAGATTTTTCAACTTTAGGATTTTTTTGTGTGGAAACTATTCATCATTGGTCAAAACGGCTTTTATGTCCGTATTTTTCTTTTGATTCACTATCTACTGACATTTATTAATTGGAACAGATACAAGGTGGTCAGAATTCTGAATCTTGAATCACACTGTATATGTTCCAATTGAATGTCAGTAGATAGTAAATCAAAAGTTGAGATAGGAACATTGGAGCCGTTTTGACCAATAATGAATAGTTTCGACACAAAAAAATCCTAAATTTGAAAAATCTCGATTTTGAACACCCCATATCTCTGTAATCATTCCCGCTATAGACCCCAAGTGTGATATATTGATGAAATCAGCTCTTCAGGGAGAATATAAAAATACAATGAAATAGAGGGTGTTTCATTTGAAAAAATCAAGTAGTACTCTGTAGATCGTTTGGTCCGAGCACCCTGTATTTTCTGATGCAACGGGAAAAAAATTTCTGAAAAATCATTTTAGATGATTTTTCAAATTTTTAAATCGGTTCAAGAATAAGTGAGCTAGAGGGGGGAACATTTATGGTGAATCACCCTGTACCAGGTACCAGAAATATATTGATTGATTCAGATCAAATTCAATTTTTTAAATACCTACCACTGTTATATCGGTTTGTTTCTTAGGTTTAATTTCATCAGTATTTTTAAATTTTCATTCAGTATTTTTGTCGTTTATTTTTACTAATCGTTCCAGTTTTTTATATTCTCAAATCTTATAACTACCTATGTAACTGTATTTAGTGATATTTGTGAGTATTTTGAAATTGACATTCAGAAATATGATTATATTTTCATGAGAATGTTTGTTTTGTTTGTTTCTATTTTGTTGGAACTAGGTCAATTTACTTTTCTGCTTACTAAAAGTACGTAATGTTTTGACGCCATAGGTTTATTTCATTATCCTTTCTTGGGATTCGTATGGCATAAAATAGATCTGAATTTTTGACAAGGTATTTACTGATGAAATAAAAATTGAACTGGCAACCCTGGTCCGCGCGGAGAGTGAGTTGACAACAACTGTCATTTTCTGTTGTCAAATTGATTATTCACGAAATTCGATAGATTTCACGTGTGAATAGGGCCGTGATGTGGATATAAGTATTTGAGGTCGATGAAAAAATGTAATATGCACCTCGGCGAAAAAATTTCTATTGTCTTGCCTGATTGCTAGCCTCGGCTGTCAATTTGTAGACTCGACTATAATAGACAGTTTTTCGTTCTTGATACATAAATAACTATTCTGCTCAAAATTATCTTAATTGACGTATATGTATATCTCTAATAAAATGAATTGACTTCTCATTGAAGAAATTGTGAATGTGGTGATTTTTCAGGGTGATCTCTATAAGAATGCGGAGACTCATTAAGTGTAAACTCGCGAAATATCGAAATCATCTGACACAATCTGCATCAACAGTGATTATTACCGTGACCTTGACCTCAAGCCAGTACAACACATATGGAAAGCCGCGATTATAAAACCTATCAGAAATAGCAGTCAGTAGACTAATACATCATTTCTTTCCACACACTCTCTATATTGCATATTCAGTTACAAAACTGTGCCGTAATTATATTTTCAGATCCATCTATCATCAGCATATTGAATAATTCCGAGTAATTCCATCCTATATACAGGTTGATTCAGATTTTAAGGTACAAACTGGAATGGGTGATAGATCTCATAATTTCATTTAAAAAAGTTTATATAAACATGAGTCCGATCTCGATCAGTAGCGGAGTTACACAGAGGGTCAAATTTCAATTATTTTTTCTGTTCATTGAAATATCTCGCTCACATTTCAATATCATATGAATTTGAAATTTGGTGTAGGTAATACTTTCTAGAAAATCATCATTTTAAGCATTTTAAAGATTTCAAAATCTACGTGATACGTTTTTAGGGCTAGAGGCTTCTTTACCCTCCCAAACTTTTTTCTAGTACGTTTCTGACATCTCTCACTTACCAAATAGAATGGATCAATCAATTTGGAGGATTTTTTCGCCTCTCATTTTCTTCCCGAAACTGAACCGTTTTCGAGATAAATAAGCTTACCGTTCTAAAACATGTTAATTTAATCTACCAGAGATCTACCTACTTTTTTCCTATTGAATTTTATTCTTGGACAAAATTCGTTAACATTATTGACAATGATACTGATAAAGCCACATTTACCATCAGATGTATGATGGTAAATTACCATTATTCACAAGTGGCTTTCTTTATGTTCTGGTTCCCACGAAAAGGGATATCCTGTAATATTCTGAGAACATCGTGAGAACCAAGGAAAACGAGGTAGGAATTGGTGTTCTTCTCGAATTTCTGGAGGTTATATGCCTCGGGGAACACCTCCCTTGGCAATGTGTTCCAGAGCCTCGCTGTTCTTTGTACCTTTACCCGACAGGTTGAATGCTATATTCAAGGGCGGATCCAGGGGAGGGGAAGTCATGGTGGTCCCCCTGGGATCAGGTAAACCGGTCATTTTTCTGTGAACTTGCTGCTCAATTCACCAAAAAAAAAACAATACACGACACGTTGCGCACACAAGGCTGGAATTAATCGTATTGCCCATAATTCGTTTGAGTTTTTTTTTAATTTTTTTCCGTTATCTAATAATTCGTAAATTATTTATGAGGTGATTCCTGAGGTGTTTTTATGGAAAATAATCCTATAAACTGTTCTCTTACTGAAGGAGTCCCTTCTAATAGGTATATACACTCTGATGGACACGGGTTTTCCTCAATATTTTCGAAATCATTCATTAAAAAATCAGAATCAGAATAAGAGCTCAGAATTTCGAAATCTTATTCAGGAACTTAACGTACTGGATGGGTTAAGGGTGAAAACAATTCAATGTTTTATGGTATTTCTTTCAACATTCTCATCTCAGAATATGATACCAGAAGTTTTTTACGTGAAAAAGGTACTCCTTATTCAAATCCATAGCGAAAGTTTTGAAAAAATCTTCTCCCAAACCGAATAACACACTGAAAATTTGAAATTCGATACGTTGTATACTTTTTACATCAAATTGAATAATTAGCTGAGAATTTCAAAATTATCATCACGAGTGTATCATAATGAAGGAGTTAGGTTAGGACCCCGGTTTTGATGGCTTGTAAGGAGGTAGGTATAAGTACATAAAATTGGTATTGGTGTGAAAATTGCAATTTTCTTGGAAATAATTAGTCCAATTTAAACTAGGAGTAGGAGTAACTTTACGTCAAAAATTTTCAAGCATCTAATAAATCAAAAAGCAAAATGTTAAAAACAAATCGTCATTAGAAAATGGTTTTGTTTTGACCCGCAATAACTTCAGTATGATACGTCTCAAATGAAATTTCCTAAATTTCGAGCTCACAATCTCATCTGCCGTTGAAAGTGAAATTTAATCAATGTTAAGGAAACACGCACTATATATTTATATAATTATTGGTTTCTGAAGCCCTGGACCATCCCCCCCCCCGTGACGCAAGGGCTGGATCCGTCCTTGGCTATCCTGACCTTCTACCTTCTTCGAATTTTGTCTAAGAATTAAATTCGAGGGAAACATAGGCAAAATCCTGCAAAATTAACATAATATATATTATTGAACAGATATGCTGCTCATTTATCTCGGAAACAGTTCGTTCCTAGAAGAGAATTGAAGAGCAACGAAAGCCTTAAAATTGAACGATCCACCCTATTTGGTAAATGAAAATGTTTGGAGGAGATAGATAAGCCTCGATCCCCAAAAACGAATCACCCTGTTGATTTTGAAAAATTATAAGATGCTTTGAAAGATGATCTTCTAGAAAGTATATTGACTACACCCAATTACAAATTGATATCTCCAGAAGTGAACAAGATATTTCAATTGATAACAAAATTAAGATTTGACCCCTTGTAGCTCCGCTACTGATCGAAATAGGACCATGTTTATAAAGTGTGACCCACTTCTAATGGAACCACCCCTGTATCTTACGTAACCGTTGGGAAAGGATCCTGAAGTTTGCTGGAGCGAGAGATATACCAAAAATGCACTACTATATGACCAAGTGGGGTCATCTTCAGTGATATACACTGCTCCCCAACAGCCATGGAACCACCCCAATTTCCGGAAAATAATATTAGGAGTCGAAATAGGTCGAAAATCACTTCAGATTCGGAATCAGGACGCCCAAAATTAACTAACTATTCATATTCTTCCTGAAAAATTTTCAGATCTGAAAAATCAAATTTTGTCGCACTTTTTACGAAATCGAATTCATCTCTGGACTTTCTATTCTTCCTGCAAATTTCAGAACCCTACCTCAATAATTACGTGAGATATACGGGGGTGCCTCCATGAGAAATGAGACGGAATTGAATTTTCCTGAACTGGACATTTTCTAGGAAAACAATGAATAGTTAGTGAATTGGGCGTCCTGATTCCGAATCCAAAGTGATTTTCAACCTATTTTGACTCCTAATATAATTTTCCGGAAATTGGGGTGGTTTCATGGCTGTTGGCGAGCAGTGTATATCACTAAAGATGATCCCATTTGGTCATAGAGTGTATTTTTGGTATATCTCTCGCTCCAGCAAATTTCAGGACCCTTATGATCTATCACCCATTTCAGTTTGTACCTTGAAACCTGAATCGCCCTGTATATATATACCTACCACATACACAATTCTTTTTTTTTATTCTCTCCAGAAAAATTCTGTGATATCATTTGAAACAAATGGGTATACCTACAAAATAAACAGAGAGAAAATATCGTACTTCAGGTCATAGTTTGTTTGTATTGGACTCAGCTTGATGATATTTCTTACATATCTTGACCTAGTCGATCCATTTCACTGAGAAGAAAGTCAACGTCTTTTTCGGTGACTGCGGCTGATGAGATTATGTTCCTGAAGAAGTTTGGTCTTCGGTCATCGGGCTGATAACCGGTCATGAGAGTTCCTTCTTCCATCATTTTCGCTTTCAGACGAGGGCACATCTAAAGAAAACATTCTTCAGATATTTACATTCTGACACCATACCGGTATAAGTATAGTAAATAAAATGAAGAGATTTTGTATTTCGTGTAAAATTTATTATAAAATCGCAAAACGCTTTCGGCTGAAAAGCCATCATCAGTGCTATATGTATATACTCGTCATGTATTTACAAAAAGGTCAAAAAATTAGTTATCGACGACATCATTATGGTACAAACGGAATTAGGAACAGACATACCTTTAACAAAAAAGTTCCCTAATGGGTTATTGTAAAATGTTTCAAAAATACATGTTAGAATTATTTAGTTCAGGTCCAGGAAGAGCACGAGGGACCTTAACCTCAATTAGACATTCTCTTGTGTAATAGCATTTTGGAAGTATATGAGATCATTGGAGTTCAAAAAGGAAATTGTTATTTGTTTTATAGTAGTGATGGAGACATTGATTAGGTACTTGAGTAGCACAGATCTTATATATACGTGCGTATACCTCTACCAAAGGAAACAAATAGAAGCCAATTTTTTTTCCTGAAATCCAAACTTCAGGTTCAACTGAGGATATAAAAATTATTTTCCGAAATACGTATTTAGGTTTTTCTGAATAGTATTGAGGTATTTTGGAATTTGGATAAATTTTCATACTTGATTCAACGTGAATATGGCAGGAAATTGTTATATTTTGTTCAGTACCATGCGAAGAAACCATATGGATATATTTTTAGTATATCTACTCACTTCTCCTAGCTTTGCTTCTCTTGCAGGACCATGCGGTTCCTTGCGTAAGCGTTTGGGAATATACCAGAAACAAACATTGACCATTTCGGGTTCCATAATCAGGTAAAATTTGTCGGGTTGCTCCTTGATTCGTTTCACCAGGTACTCTGATAATTCCATCAGTCTGTCGATGAGTTCTTCGAATCCTTCATCCCCCTTTAAAATATTTACAAGAATAAAATGAAGGCCAGGGGCGTCGATAATGATTTTTTCTTGTGAGGGGGGTAAAGGCTTTTGGTTCAGGTGATGAAAGAAAATCATGTTGAAGAGAGCCATAAATAACATACAATAGAATTACAAAACGAAACTATACTTCTTTGGATAAACAAATCGAACAGCTGAATTAACAGCCATGCATGAACGAATATTTCTTTGATTACCTATCTTACAAATTATTAATCTTGGGACGGAGGGAAGAAATCCCCATTACCCCCCTCCATATCAACGCCCTTGAAGAAGACTTTATTGCATCATAATAAAATATGCGGAATCTAGGAACGTGTATAAATATGGGACACTACAGGTACTTGAAAGAATATGAGTTCTTTCTGGCCGATAAATCGTGAATAAGTGTGTAAAAGTGTAAAATATCAATACCTATATATAATTATAGATAATTGTGATATGTTTGTAAAGTCAATTAACAAACAAATTTGGACAGCAACCTAAAACCATTAGGTTTTCATTCAATCTCAATTAAAAATGTTTTTTATGTATTTTCTGTTCCGACAAGGGGGTGCAAGTGCACCCTCTTTCACCCTGCTGCCGGCGCCCATGTATATAGGTACTAGAATATCGATTCTTGCATCAGGTTTTGTATATTTGTTGATTTATATTGTACGTATCTACCTTTACCTCCATCATAGTTCACTTACAAGGTAGTCAAGTTTTTTAAAAAGCAGGTGCAGAGCTATGAAGTATGGTAGGTATCAATAATATTATTATAATGCGTCTTCACTACGACGATGATCAAAATAATCCAGTGCCACGTGTATTCTTGGTTGCGTATATTATAGGGTAATAATATGTCTTCGTCGTCGCCGTCAACTCCTTCCCTTTCCCTCAACCCCCAATCATTTTCTGTGATTTTGGCATCAATTGAAGTTGAAGTTGAATGTTGATGGACTTGAAGGCACGTAGGCAGGCATGGACGCATTGGCATTATATAAGTAAGAACGTTTTCATTTAAACATATCATCTTTCTGTTTTGAATGGAATACTTCATCTACCTAATTATTCAGTTCTATAAACTCGAAAGTCGTATTATTCTAATATGATTTTATTAGTATTGGTGCGTATCTGGAGTTGATGTTGTAATTAACATTATGTAATATCCGCTGGCGAACAATTTTCAGATCCCCAGTGGCGCAATTGGTTAGCGCACGGTACTTATAAGACAGTAGTCGTGAGCCATGCCGGGGTTGTGAGTTCGAGCCTCACCTGGGGAATACTTTTTTTTTATTTTTTTGCATTTAGAAAGTACCTGATAATATTCTGAATACCATAGATTGAAGGGGGAGTCGTTAATCTATGTGAATACTAATGTAGCGTGTGTATCAAGTGTTTAGTCAGATATTATTCTTATATTATGCAACCAAGTGTAAATAAGAGCATTCCGAATTCCAATCTCCAAACCAGTTTTGTCTGATAGATATAGGTAGATATCATAGGCGTGCCTCATAAATTGCCCAAGGGCGTCAATATGGTCACCCCCTTCCCCCAAGAATAATAATTTGTAAGATAGTTTATGGCTGTTTGATTTGTGATTTGTTTGTCCGAAGAAGTTTATTTTTGTTCCTAATTATTCTAATTGTTATTATTTTTATGACTCTCCATAACATGATTTTTTTTCATTACCAAAAAGGAAAAGCCATTGCCCCCTTACCCAAGAAAAAATATTTTCGACGCCCCTGTGTACACCGTAGATTGCTTCAAAGTTAGATAAAGAATCATTTTTTGTGTCACTTCGTATAAGGACAAACAATGTGTCCCAGAACAACGTACCATATTATTTCTAGAGGGTGAACTAGATATCAAAATAGGCCGATTGAAATCCGTGAAAGGGTGATGAAGGACAATTTTAATTCCAGATTTTCTTTAATATCTCAAAATCTTTCTTAACTGCTCTGAAATTCACTATAATGAATGTGCATGTAAAATATGTCACAGAATCAATTATTTGATGTTTTTCTAACTGCAGTGATTTTATAATGGGTTTCGAGAGATTTCTAATAAAATTCATTTTGGTGCTCTTCCATTTGTGTTGAGTTATTGACCACAATAATCATGTTTATGAATTACTTTAGCATACGATAATGTTGTTGGTAATCTTCAAATATATTTAGTTTTTCTTGATAAGTTTTTTTAGAAATCTTGTGAACTGAAATTTGGAAATGACCAGCTCCCAAATTATATGATGAAGAGCTTGCCAATTGGTGAATATGAGTATTGTGGTCGATAACTCAACACAAATGGGGTAGAAACGAGCAAAACATGATCATTCTCACATCATAAACAAGTAGTATGGAGAAGCACCAAAATTAAATTTGTTATTTACCTCGAGAACCAAGGAAAATTATAAAAAAGCTGTATTCAAAAAAAGTGAGATAATTGAGTTTGTGATTCTTTGAAATATCAAAATGTGGTCAGTACCGTACTCCAAGTAAGTTACAACAATTTTTTTCAAAGATAATGCGAATATCTCAATCCCTGTATATTGATTGAATTGGTATGACATTTTTTCAATGCACATTCACAAAAGTGAATTGCTCTACGAATTTCAGAGCAGTATCTTTCAAGGATTTCGAAATATTGAAGAAAATCTGGAAATAAAATTGTTCTTCGCCCTCTCACGGAGGCCTATTTTGGACTCTAGTTCACCCTGTAGAATTTATGGTAAGTTATTCTGGGACACCTTGTATATACGTATTCCTGTTTTTATAGGATATCTAAACTTATGCCAGCCTTCTTATGAATCCACCTTTCCGTTGTTATGAAAAGAATATTCAAATTGGACCTGATAATTAACAAAGTTATTGGGCTATGTAATCATATGGGATACCTCACTTTGCTCTTCAAGGCACATGTATATACCTACCTAATATTTTTTCCTATGAGCCTGCGTAAAAGTAAATTTAACGCACGATTATTCGTTTTGAAATTTCACTTTTCTTCATTCTAAAATAAACCATTGTTGTTCATTTTATGAAGACTGTGGAAATGTTTGTATTTATTCTTGAAATCTTCTTCTTTCATAAATGATATGGACAAAAACACTCGTAGGGAAAGCATTGTACCTAACTTTTTCGAAAAAGTACAACTATCCGTACTTGTTAGGTAAATAACTATGTATTTCGCCGAAGGTCATGAGAAGAATGTTTATTTTAGAGTTTTTTCAGCTGGCAACGCAAGTGACGTAACTTCTTCATATTTTTAATGGGAATCAATTTATTGCAAATCATAACAATGTTCCATTCATTTCAATCTTAGACGTTTGAGGAAACAAAGGTATCTTCTTCGCTCACTATTTCCCTTTCAGTCTCAAAACACGAATAGTGAATGAACATAAAAAGATCGAGCTAAACGAACTTTATTTTTTCAATTCAATCCATTTTCTACATATAACTTGACAGAATATTTCTTTGCAACAAAGAAAAGCAAATCTTGAAAATAGGTAAGGTTTGATGGTTTAGTTTTGAAAATGTAGTCTCCTTTCTAGGATATGCTCCTTCCACAAGATTTTGTTGAAAGATAGATCGGTTTAAAAAAATAAATACTTCATAGGAAGAAGGTTCATTAATGCCGAGTAAGGTGAGATTGTTTGAAATAGTAGCCTCCTTCCAAAAAATATACTTTCTATGAAGAATGTTCATTTATAGACCAAAAATGAGATTAGATTGTTTAGAAAAAGTAGTCTCCTTTCTGAGATATGCTCCTTCCTCACGATATAGTTAAGAGATGGATCGGTTTAAAAAAATATTTACTTTATAGGAAAAAGGTTCATTAAGGCCGAGTATGGTTTGATTGTTTGAAATAGTAGTCACCTTCCGAAAAATATACTTTCTATGAAGAAAGTTCATTTAGGACAAAAGTGAGGTTAGATTGTTTAGAAAAAATAGTCTCCTTTCTGAGATATGCTCCTGCCGCAAGATATAGTTAAATGATAGATCGGTTTTAAAAAATATATACTTTATAGAAGGAAGGTTCATCAAGGCCGAGTAAGGTTAGATTGTTTGAAATAGTAGTCTCATTCCGAAAAATATACTCTCTATGAAGAAGGTTCATTTGGGCCAAAAATGAGGTTAGATTGTTTAGAAAAAGTAGTCTCCATTCTGAGATATGATCCTTCCTCACGATGTTGTTAAGAGTGTTTCGAATCAACAAGTTTATATATTTTAAATATAGTTGTGAATTAAAGAAGCTGCTGAAATCATGTTTGTTTTCTTTTGAATCATATAGTAGTTATCAAATTATAATAAGCTCATTTCAGGAAGATTACTAGGCAAAATGTCGATGATGTTATTATACACACTCATAGACCTATTATAATAGGTCTATGTTGACAGTCCTTCTTTCCTTATTGTAATGAAGTAACATGAAAAAATGATTTTTGAACTTCATCGATTCTGTGCCATGTGTTCTTCCAGAAATGATACGAAGTCAATGAAGACCAATGACATTTTGAAATTGCCGCCGCGCCTGTCAATGGTCGAATTAGTTCGGTTTCCAAAACGCATGGTGGCGCTGATGTCGTTGTTCTATGGACATCACTATGGGAGATTACGTAGGTTTTGTTTAGGTGAACTTATGTCCTATTATCTATGGAAAACTCACCTTTGCTCTCCATTGCAACCACAATTTGAAGATGTCATTATGCCGACCACACTGGATGACTTTATCTCCTGTATCGTATCTGATATCGTAAAGTTTATCTTGCATGAATAAGTAGTCAGCAGCCATCTGGTTACAACTCATAAGTAGACCCTATGTCATAAGAAAAGGACTTTTAATTTTCAATGAATGAATGTTGGTGATTTTCATCACTGAATATTTCAGCTTAGTACGATTGATTCAGTTGGATTTCAAATGCTCAGAATGAAAAGGAAGTATCAAAAAACTTACATCTTCTTTGAAGTGGATCGTAGAACACTGAAGTAGAGCACCCATCAGTTTGTGTGGATTCCACGTTACTGAGTCTGCCCTGTGTACAAAATCGCAATGAAATCACTTGGCCAAATAAAAATATATTTGTAAACGAATGCAAAATTATATGCAATGCTATCAGTCCTTATACCTATTAGTAATCATTTATGTTATCAGCTTATTAAATTTAGCAATTTCTATTGAGACGAAATACAAACTAATCTATGTTCGGGTTGTAAAGAAGCTACTATAGATAGGTTTGTATCATTCATTAGAATATCGAATCAATCCTAAGCTGGTTAAAATTACATCGCCCAGTATATTTCACAGCTCATCGAAATCGAGAGCCGAACCGAAATAATAGTTTACAACCCCCTGGTAACTGGTAGGTATAAAGCACGGGTCTCTAATATATGAAAGCGTAGAATGGTCATCAAAAATAAAAGAATAAAAGGAATTATTGCAACTTGTAACGTGCAGCAATTCAATTACTGCAACTTACAACTCGCAATAATTCAAAATACTGCAACATACAACTTGCAGTAATTGAATTACTGCAACTTATAACATATAACTACCAGTAATTCGAAATAATGCAACATACAACTAGCAGTAATTTAAATCACTGCAACTTACAACTTGCAGTAACTAAAGCACAAAACAGGCTGAGAAGAAGATTAACTGAGGTTAACTCATAGATCAACTACTCTGTTAACTTAAATACCAGCTAGATTCCATTATTAACACCGTATAGAAGTTCACCATCAAAAGCTTGGATTGCATCCACCTTGTTTTGATATTTTTATACCTTTACAGGGGCAATTACATAGGTACCTAATAGAATGGATCAGGATGAGTTGGTTCAATTTTATTTTCACTTGGGATTAAGCCACAAGGAATTGATGGCTGTGCTAACATTGAACCATAATATAACAGTCAGTGGTGAAAGCACCTTGAAAACACATCTCAGAAGTCTTGGACTGTAAAGAAGAAAATATTCAACAGATCTTACTGAAGTAATTCAGTTCCTTTTGTACTAATACTGGTTAGAAGAGGGTTGGAATTACTGCGAGTTGTAAGTTGCAGTGATTCGAATTGCTGCTAGTTGTATGTTGCATTATTTCGAATTACTGCTAGTTATAAGGTGCAGTGATTCAGATTACTGCAAGTTGTAAGTTGCAGTAATTCAATTACTGCAAGTTGTATGTTGCAGTATTTTGAATTATTGCAAGTTGTAAGTTGCAGTAATTGAATCACTGCACGTTACAAGTTGCAATAATTAGATTTTTTTTATTTTCGATGACCCTTCTACACGGAGAAAAAAAATCACTAACCCTAAGTGAATATTTAATAGTGGCAAGTAAAAACTTGTATACTATATGGGACAAGGAAACAAGTTAATAACCACAAAAATATTTGTGTTTCTGAAAATGTACACCTACCACTATTGACCTGTTTCATTAAATTTCAGAGTGATAACGGTTAGTGAACACATCACTTGTCATCAGTGACCCATCCACTTTTCATTAGTGACTTGTTCACTAGTCATTGGTGGCCTAATTACATGTCATTAGTGACTTATCTACTAGTCATCAGTGACTTATTCACTTGTCAATAGTGACTTATTCACTTGTCATTAGCTAGTATGAAAAATACCTCCATTGTTCTCTGAAAAATGATAAAACCTTGGTAATAAGACAAAAACACATGCATTCAAAACATTTTATTATATAGGTATGATGAATCCAGAAAATACAAAAAAGGTAAGGCTGACGACAAATATTGAGATACTAGATACCGCGTATATCAGCATCATGCACCTAGAAAAACGGTACTCTCACTCACTGCACTGCACTCTGGTTCACTATCTTTTTCCTTCCAGCATTGAAGATGAATCAAATTTCATACTTTTTAAACGTCACTTCCTTCCACTTCGAGTATCATAGGAAGTGGAAAAAAAAACCTGTATATATGTAGAAACAATTATGTACTGTTCTAGAAGAGTTTTGTATTTTATTATCTCCTTCAAGAGAACAGATCAAGAACTCAACACCCCACAGCTCAGAGCACGGCCACAGAGCACGGCACACAAACAGATAATTCTCATACGAATATGATGTGGTAGTTGTTCGAAAGGGCACTTGGATGACTTGGAATTTCAATGTTACTAGCGGGAACGCAAGTATCCTAACTTCACGAATGCTAAGATCGAAATGACGCCGTGGACTCGTGGACACTGGACAGTGATCGCGTTGGGCGTGGGTACTCGAATAATATCGGAGATGTCCGAACGGAAAAGAGATCGATAACTACAGGTGAGCTGTCACCTGCAACAATCGACTTGATAGATTGTCTTTATTGATGAGTTCGCTCAGAGCAAGTGATCTTATGTCAGAAAAATAATTTAATAATAGTGAGTATTCGTTAACCTAGCACTAGTTTAGTGTTGACTTAGAATTAGCGAACTCTAAGTACATATCGACTTGGTTGATACCAACAAGTGTTCTGATCACTTACAGCAGAAACTTCGTTCCAGAAATATAGTTTTGCCTACTGCAAGTACCATATTTTCCTACCGTTGGTGAAAATGTTCTTGTCACAATCGACTTATTTTTAAGAAAACAATTTACTTGGCCAAGTTTTCTCAGTGTACTCATTCGTACTAATAGCCCTCAGTTGACTTTTGTCATATTAGTATTAGATGAATAAAGACATGGTATCGAGAGATATAGTTGTTGGTTTTTTTACTGTGTCTTTATTCCATCAACCCGATATCATTTTTGGATTGTAAAACGGACAAGGCTAGCTAGGTCCATCTGAAAGGGGTCCGAATAGTTTTCTTTATTCAAACACATATTGTAAAGGATCTGGGTTCATTGCTTTTATAATATACTACGTATATTTTCTTGGAAGAATAACAAATTAATTGTCAAGTGAATCTTATTGTTGGGTTTGAAACATATATGTTGAATGTTATTATTTATGGTATCTTTTGGATGTATGCAAGTTGAGAGATTTCTAAATACCATATACCCAAACAATAATGGAATAACATCACATGATTGGTCAGATATAATTTGGCGGTGAGTTTTGCCATATTTTTCAAATACTGAAAACCCGCTGAACAGATCCTTTTTGAAAGTATATAGTTTTGTGTCAAAATAATTTTTTCTTCTGATGGATTTCTCTTTTCACAATGTCTACCTATCTTTCATTTGGTTGGAGCGATTCTGCAAGTTTCAGATCGACGTCCCGACCGAGGAACAGAACAGATGTGGATTCTCATGTAATCAGGGATTACATTCAAGAAATTCAGAGACAAGCTTTTGCTTTCTGTGTTCCATTTGGTGACAAGGTGCTGTGCATTTTAGGACTACGCGACTACGAAGGTTTTCCAGCTTTAACACAAATCTTAGACTTGAAGAGGATGATTCAAAGGAGAGTTTTGAATGCATTCCAGCATCATCTATAGACTGAAAGAAAATACTCACTCACTGTCACAAAATTTTTCCATTTTCATAAGAAATTGGATTTTTTATAATTGCATTGAGTTTATTCTGATGAATGCGCTGTTGATTCCTAACATTTCATTTAGTTCAGTTAGTGTGAACGTAAAACTTCCTATCGACGTTATTAGCAAGGTGGATAGAATGTAATGGTGTAATCATAGACAGTGTTTTGTTTCTCCCAAAACGCTTGACTGCAGATTCCGCAATAATGGCAAATTAGTTCTCAGTTGTCCGCAAGCTGGCGACACTTTTTACAGAATTCTTTCATGACAGAGAACAGAAAACGGTGCTTACACACCGCTTGCACCAGAAATAATAATATAACATTCATAACAAAACCTCAAATCGAATGAGATTGAATTGGAAAAAACGAAACTGTAATTTTGGGGAATTTTGATTATCATCAGTTCTACCAACCTTGGATTTTGGTTGAGATTTTGAGATATTGAAAATAAATCTTCTGTCAATTAGGCCGTAGGTCAAGAACTTTGACCGAATAACAGTAGATGGGATTTGATAGGAGTTCCTACACCATCTTCTGTTCATCCTGGTTATGAGAGAGAATATCTCTACTAATATCATCTGAAATTTGTTTGAAGCTATGCTTTTCTTTTTAAGATCAATAAATTCACTCACAACAATTAAATTCCTGACTCACTCGGTATAGGACGACTCAAAGAGAGTACTCAATTCAACCATAGCTATCGAAAATAATCAAAGTTTTGATGAATATTTTTAAATTTTACGTATAGAAAAGTCCATAATTTTATTATACTGTATCAAGAAACACATGTCCTGTTTCTGAGAATTTTGTGGAAATCTTATCGTTTGTGTAATTTTTACACATCACTTCTGAGTTTCGACTATCCACATATAGACTCACCGTCAAAAAAGACCGTCCAGCTGAAATATTGTATGAAGTTCCCCTAAAGTTCCAGTGTCACTGCTATTATCAAATTAAATTTATTGATTGATTGGTTTCTTTAGCTAATTTCTATCATCATAAAGTTGCTTTTCAATCTGTTGCCACTGTCTATACCTTTTCAACTTCAATTTCGGAATCGGTGAGTTATATTTCGGAAAAAGTAATCTCGATTTCAGAATTGGTTAGTTCGATTTCAGAAATGGTAAACTCAATTTCAGAATCGGTGAGATGAATTTCAGAAAAAGTCCATTCAATTTCAGAAATGGTAAGTTGTACTTCAGAATTATTATTGGTAGGTTCAATTTCAGAAGATGAAATCCTTTTATATGTTTGAAATGTTTTTAATTGCAAAAGAGAGGATTGTGGATTGTTTACAGTGGATGGAACGGTGTTTGAGAGCCCTATGTTGAATCAGATTGAACATATATGGGGTGCCTTCAAGTCAGAAGTGAAGAGCTTCTTGCAAGAGCATCGCCAAAGGGTCATAGTTGGAGATCCGAACAGATTGCTCAACCAGATAGAATTCAGACTGCGATGTCTTGAAGAATGTGCAGATCATTCAATGAAAATGATAACACCTCAAATGTGTTTGCATTCTTATAATCATGTGCAACGCCACTATCTTCCAGCGATTCAGATGGAAGGCATCTGTGGATTAAATTGTTTTTGAAAAGTTGAATATTTTAAATAGATGGTTTGTTAATCTCACATGCAATTGGAAACATTTCGAACAAATATAAAAATTTTTTTCATGATATTGAACCTACCAATTCTGAAATACAACTTACCATTTCTGAAATTGAATGGACTTTTTCTGAAATTCATCTCACCGATTCTGAAATTGAGTTTACCATTTCTGAAATCGAACCAACCAATTCTGAAATCGAGATTACATTTTCCGAAATATAACTTACCGATTCCGAAATTGAAGTTGAAAAGGTATAGTGAAAATGACACTTATCAAGGGTGGCTGGTATTTTTTGCCGGTGTTCATGTATGAGACACCCTGTATGTGTGCTTTCACATAGAGTATGGGAATTAAACACATTGATGGCCTCTGGCTTCACAGTCGCCCTATAAAATCGATAATCGGATCAAGGTTCCCCGCTCATAAAACCCCTGATAAGCCCTAAAGTGTGCATCAATTTGCATCTGAACTACTTATGGGTTTTAAAAACACTTCTCTCTGTATCAAAGTGCCGAAAGCACTCGGGGGTGAAACACTTTTGGATTGACTTAAACTCATCCATTATGAAAGTGTCGACAGCTTTTGGATGGGTCAATGGATACGTGAGGTGAGAACGTTGGATACCTGTTTGGCGATGAGGAATTATGATTTATGATGACGAATCACTTCGTCTCACGGGAAACAAATATGTTTCTACCTACTTCAAGTTAAATATATTTCGTTGAAGGATGCATCGGTATCAATTGCGTATTTATTTTTCATGAATATAACTCATTTAATGTTCGTGAATGCGCTGGCTTGAGATTCTTCCTGTTTGACCAACATATCTCTCACCGGAAACAAATATGTTTCTACCTACTCAAAGTTAAATATATTTCGTTGGAGGATGCATCGGTATCAATTGCGTATTTATTTTTCATGAATATAACTCATTTAATGTTCGTGAATGCGCTGGCTTGAGATTCTTCCTGTTTGACCAACATATCTCACACCGGAAACAAATATATGTTTCTACCTACTTAAAGTTGAATATATTTCGTTGGAGGATGCATCGGTATCATTTGCGTATTTATTTTTCATGAATATATCTCATTTAATGTTCGTGGTTTTGACGAAAATTTCAGAAGCTCACGTAGAAAATTGAAGGTTGGACGTGAGGAAATAGTTTTGGATATCGATACCTATATCTCTAATTGAGCAAAATGTTTCTTCAAGGCTCACCTGATATTGTTAATCATTTAGATCACGATCAGTGAGAAATTATGATGCAAATTACTGAAGAAAAACAGATAAGGTAAGTATTCCAGCTGGATTCCTGTTGACCAATATATGCAGCAGCTTCATTACCTACTGCTGAGTTTCAAATGCGTCAATTTTTACTTTACCACAGCCTTAAATGAAATCACAGACTCACTTAAAACTCGTCACATGTTCCATCACATTTGATTCAGCAATTCTATCAATGCTGCCTTCAAAATTTTTCGTATTTTATCACAGAGACTCCCCAATCGAAGACATAACTTTGGTGAATGTCCCTCTCAAATGAAATCATATACTTATCTCAGGTCTCAGACTTGCCACAGTAACAATATTCAATATTTTATAAATTTTATCTCTTTTATTTATGCGTTTATATTGATTAGTAGGTAGGAATGTATCATTGAATGTTCATCAATTACAGTTTCCACCCAAAATTTATCGGTTTTTCACAATCATGAAAGACATGAATGATGATTCCGCTAATATAAACTAACTTCGTACTTTCTCATTTATGTATAGACTAGTTGTTTCAATATTTATTCATTAGCAATATAACAACATTGAACTCAATTATGTTCATTGGCTTAATTGCATGTACAAGACATCGCTGAGGCATCCTTATGGACTACTACCAGAGTCAATTTCAAGTAATGCCAGGAAAATTGTTGATCTCTGTTAGATATCAGAACACTATTTCCGAAGTGGCATATTGAAGAATTCCTATTGAACCTATAGCGTCATTATGTCATTCCGTTCCAGCATCCACTTTGCTTCATAAAAAGGTTGCTATTTGATTAATGATCGGGTAATTAATATGGTGCTGTCAACCCTTAATTGCGGTTCATAGTAGGGTTTTTGGTTGAACGTTGAAGCAGGCTAAAGCGTATCGTTGTTCCAAAATGTCATTATTCTAATGAAAAGGGCATTGTGCAACATCAACGTCGAGAATCTAACTTTTTTACTGTGCAGCAGTGATTGATACTAAAACTATAAATCTCCCACACATTCCACACAAAACACTTGTATCGAAGGAAAACATGACTCTCATTATGGGTTAACTTTGGTGTTTGGCACAAATACAATGAATTGAATTCTTATATATTATTCATATACGTATATCTTGGAAGGGCATATGGTTTTTTGAAGCCAACTAAGCACTTACCGTTCAACTCCACTCATTCTTGGGTGCCTGTATTTCTTAGAAAGCAGTAATCCACCTCCCCAAGCTGCCTGGAATTCCAAAAAGTATTGTACGTAATTGTATTTATCCATTATAATGTGTGTTATGATTTCTATGGTATAAGAAACTAGAAGCAAGGACGATTTCTGCTCGAAATCTACATATCCATCGTTATACATTTTTTAAATGATTCGAAGTTTCATCACAAGTTGTATGAGTTTTGTTGCCTTCCTTAGTCGTTTTGTTATGAGTTTATTTGTGCCACCGGCCGAAAATGTTAGTTCTTGAGGTATGAAGGAGTCACCTTGTGTAGAAAGGATCAATGGAATCAAGGTAGCCTGATTTCTTGAAAACATACACATGCGCCCACATCCCAAGTACCTTTTGCAGAAATCTGCGAAATCGTTAATGGTACTGTGTACTGAGTACTGTGGTGTAGGGGGTGCAAGCCCCAAAGACAGAGAGTGTCTTGCTCCTCACCCAATTCGAAATATCCTTGTGGAAACAATCAATGGAATCAATGCAATCGAATATCTCGAAACTTACATCCACATGCAGATATCTGCAATATGGAGACGAGAGGTCTCTTTCTTTTTATCCAATACGAAATAATTGGTTAGGTATGAGGAAAATATCTTGTGGAAAGACTCATCGTTTGGGATCAAAGACCGCGAGAACCGTGGTGCTGGAGGTGCAAGTCACAAAGACCGAAAGTCTCTTTCCATCCTTCTAATCCGAAATAATTGGTAAGGTATGAGGAAAACACCTTGTTAAAATATTCAATGAAATCAATGCAATTACATCCACATTCGATTACATCCCGTACTTCTTGCAGATATCTGCGGTGTTGTTGATGGAGTCGAAGGCCCCTATAGCACCGTGGTACTGAAGGCGACAGTCACGGAGACGGAAAGTCTTTTTTCTTCCATGGAACACGCCTTAATTGCATACATAAGTTTCACGATTCAGATATGGTCGTTAATATCGTTGGTCAGTTGAAGTCGACATTGAAATGAACATATTGCGTTCGACCCCTTTTGGGAGTTATCACTACCAATTCCTCAGAATATGAGTATAAAGTGAGTTCATCAAATTTTTCACAGAACAACAAAACGCCATCGTCGAGTTCCCCCTGAATAGTTTAGACATGAGCTACTACTGGCCTAAGTGAATAAGTGGGGCCGAGAGTTCCCTCAGTGGCCTCAGTGCCTTTGCGCTACGACTATCGGGCCTCCTGTCAATTCGATCTGATATCTGTGTAAACTTACATTCACATGCAACCACATCCTGTACTTCTTGCAGATATCTGCGAATCGTCTGGGAACAAAGGCCTCGAGCACCGTGGTAGGTAATGGAGATGAAAGCCACGAAGACAAGAAGGCTCTCTCAGTTCACCCAATCCGAAATAATTACTTAGGTATAAGGGATTCATCTCGTGAAAAGACCCAATGCCATATTTTCTGTCTCCATTGCAATCCCTGGTTTGTCCCAGCACTGGAAGCAACGCACACCCCAGAAGTAGAAACTTGTGCGCGGTCAAAGAAGCATACATTTACAAACATCCATGGCCTAAGTGAATAAGTGGGGCCGAGAGTTCCCTCAGCGCCTATGCGCTACGACTATCGGGCCTCTTATCAATTCGATCTGATATCTGTGTAAACTTACATTCACATGCAACCACATCCTGTGCTTCTTGCAGATATCTGCAAATCGTCTGGAAACAAAGGCCTCGAGCACCGTGGTAGGTAATGGAGATGAAAGCCACGAAGACAAGAAAGAAGGTTCTCTCAGTGCACCCAATCCGTATTTCCGAAATAATTACTTAGTGATAATGTATGGTGCTGAGAGTTCCCTCACGCACTCAGTGCGTTGGCGCTGTATTGGATGTTTATAATATATTGCTTAATTAATTCATTGAACTCAGGTACCATTTCGAAACAGTCCAACACAGCTTTTCCGTAAGTGTTACAATAGTTAGTTTATTCATCGATTTATTGTTTATAGTAACAAGCAGGTTAGCAAATAGGTATTGTAAGCGGCAGATAACGTTCCGGTTTGAGCTCTGCAAGAACCAACACCAATTATAATTAGTTCTACAATAAAATATTCAAAGTGAACTATCTTCCTGTCCTGTTGTTCTTCCTTGTACTATTGACCATGTTACGATACCTTGATCTCTAAGAAGAGGACATTACAGCGCTCTCAAATATCGGGCCGCCTATCAAAGCGATCTGATATCTTTGTAAACTTACATCCACATGCAACCACATCCCGTACTTCTTGCAGATGTCCGCGATGTCGTTGATGGGGTCGAACGCTCCCAGCACCGTGGTGCCAGAGGTGCAGGCCACGAAGAAGGGGATGTGGCCCCTGTTCTTCCTCTCCACGACCAGTCGTTCCAGCTCAGCGGGGATCATCTTACCGCTCTCGTCGGAGGGAACCATGACGCAGTTGTCTGTGCCGAGACCGCACACGGAAGCGCACGATTTCACTGAATAATGGCTCTGGAAAAAATTTGGTTCAGTTAAAACGTTATTCGTGATCCCTGAGAAACTAATTGACTAGTGATTGACTTCCAAATTTTGTAGGTCTCAGCACTGGTACCAAATCCTCATGAGTGGTGGAAATTTAACAACTTCTTGTCTTGTCTTGAGAAGTCAAGAAATTTCGAACAATCTTGTCTTGACGTTTTTCTTGACATATCATTTCTTGTCTTGACTCAAGAAATTTCAAGATCTTAGAAGGGGGTTCAGTGTGTTCACCAACCATACAGAGACTCCCAGACTACCATGAAGGACGTATTGTTTGGGATCAAACAAACCTTCATTTCAGGTAAACATGTTTCCTAAAATGCACCTCCCGATCTGCAGCCACTGTAAATCACGTTATAAAACGGTTATATAGAATTTTGACTTTGATAACGGATCCCCCGTTTTTTAGGCACTCTTATTTCGATTCAGAAATTACTTAGGTTATGAAAATTGTTTGAACAGTTACGGTCTTCGGTCTATGAATGGCAACTAAAATAATACATCACTACCTCTGAGGCCTGAGAACGTTACAAAATTATCAAATTTAATATAGTAATCACCTCAGTGCTTGGTATAATATGCATAATAGAGTGAGATCGATCATATGAGAGGTGAGAAACACAATTCTCAAGTCAATATGTTATAAAACCGTCAGTTCAGAAATATTCTTGGTGATTTCAGTATAATTTGATGACAATATAGACATATATACATGGACAAATGACAATACTGACAATACCTGATCCGAAGTGTACATCACAAGTTGTCCTTGAATTGTTGCAATACCCTTCTCCTTATAATTGGGAAACATTTTGTGCCTTGCAGCCAGAAATGCGTACAAATTTGATATAGATCCACCTGAAAAACAATTTTTCGACTATAGTTATCTCGCAAGCTGAATGAATAAATTAATGAAATCACTAATCTAGGGCAAGTTGGAAAAAATACCGATATGAGGATCAGTCAGTCTCTTAATAACTACTACAACTACAATGTATTCTCATCAATCGGAGGACGCACCTGGTGCTAAGATAGAGTCTCCCTTCCTCCAGTTCTTTCCGACTATTTCTCGCATGTGAGTCATAACGACAGTCTCCATCAGGATGAAAACCGGAGCGATTTCATAGGTGAACATGTTGGTGTTGGCAGTAGCAGTCAACCATTCCCCAGCCATCGAAATCAGGTCGAGGCCTGACGACAATTGGTTGAAGAAATGGGGATGACCTGAAAATAAATAGTGATAAGATATACCGCTTGATTCAATAAGGGTGACGAGATACTGTATCTCAGGAACTAGGAACTACCTCTATATTTCTGTTTTCTATCTAATTTGCCCTAAAATTATCTATTCAAATATGTATCACAATTTGATATCCGCTCATTAATTGGCTGTCAAATTGCATTTCATTGAAATACATGCTTGATAGGCTAAGAAATCCAAGATCATTACTTAGACGATATTATCAGAATATTTTCCATACCCTAATCGGTCCCAGAAGATTGCCAATAATATCATTGAGTTTAAAAAAATCATCCGAAAATAACTTACGATATTGAGGAAACTGAGATAGAAACTCAGTCAAGAATGAATAACTGTCAAACTAGACATTTTTTGTAAACCACCTAATAATAAGCGAAATGATACTGAAAATACACTAATGTATACTGTACACTAATGCAATTCGACAGCCGATTAATGAACGAATATCAAATTGTGATACATAGTTGAATAGAGAATTTTAAGGCGAATTAGATAGGCTACAGAAATATACAGGGTGCCATTAAAAAAACAGTTGGGTCTACTTTCGATCAAACAGGTGGTTGAAGAAAATTGTCAATAGGTTCAAACGAAACGCCATCATCGATAATATAACCCTTGTGAATTTCGAATTTTCATCTCCCCAAATAAAAGAACTAAAGGGTGTTACATGTCTCCTGTATCACCCGGTATATGATTATATCTTTATATTACTGGAATTTATCACATATCTCCTCTGAGATTTTTCCCACTTTCATTTTATTGTGTTTTGTTATTCTATAAAGTTTTCAGTTCGTCTTACATTTTCAATTTCAGTCTTATAAGATCTCACTTTATGTAGTGAATCATAATGGAATTTGAAGCTGGTTAAAGGATATCCATTCAAGAATGCTTGCCTTATATACCTTTGTATGAAAAAGTGGATAAAGGATTGCATTCCATTTGTCCATATTTATTGACTGAGTATAGTGGTAATTTCTTATAATTACTCTAGATTTCTGTAACTAAAAGTTTCTGAAGAGCGAAAATCGGAATATTATGGGGTGTTGCTCTAGCTCTATAGTGAGACTGATAAATCGGTGAATAAATCATATCACGGGCTATTTTTTTTTTGTTCTTGTTTTTTTTTATCGCTTGGAGCGCACGAAAGGGAATCCCTATAATGTTCAAAGAACATCGTGCGTTACTAGGGAGGATAGGGATAGGAGGTGGGTATTGGAATTTTTTTTGAACTTCTGGAGGTTATATGTTGTTGGGAATACTTCCTCAATGAATTCCAGAGCCTAGCCGTTCTATGGATGAAGGAATTTTGATGAAGTGCTGTTCGACATCTTTCGAGGTTGACAACGAGAGGGTGTGCTGACTGGGCTTGTCTAGTTCGTCTGACTGGTATTGCTAGTGAAGGGATGATAGCAGAGATTTCCGAAGAACATTTCCCGTGGAAGTATCGATAAAAAAGTGAAAGGTCGCCGACCTTTCTACGGTGTTCCAATGATGTCAAAGAGTGAGTGAGTGTGCACAACTTATTGCGTTCAAAGCAATCATGACATATGAATAGGACATCTCATGTTTAGTTTACCCATGAATTCACAGTTCCTCTAATTCCTACAGATGAGCCGAATGGTGAATTATTTCACAAAGCTCTACTTTTTCTTTATTCACACAAGTTCTGGATTTGCTGATGGTCAATACGTTATTCTATCTGCCACATATTGGATATATCATACTGAAAGCATGAATTTTGTGAAGCAGCAACTGCAATCGAATATTTCTTAGGTCTGCAATTCTGTGTCACAGGGACATAATGGATTTTCAGGAAAAAAGGCACCATGATGTTTGCCCCCTGAAAAAAGAGATTATACCTAATCCGATAGGTCACGTGCCGCCGGTGAAGGGTGTGCAGGAGCCGGCAGTAATGTCTTTGTTTCAAGTCCACTGACATTCAATTATTCTGAGCAATAGCCCGGCATAATAGTAGATTGATGGCCCGGATGTCGCATCAGGACGAGACTGCAGGATTGCAGGATTTACAACAAGGACTTTCGGATTGCGGAGGCTTGTTTCCTTCCGGCATGAGGAATAGTTTCGATACGATGTTTTTCTTTGATCTAGATAATGCTAAGGGTAGGTATGTATATGTTCAGCTTTGACAACTCTAGTATGAGAGGCTTGGGTTCGATATAAGAACAATGTTGCTTGTGAACTTGATAATGTTTTAAGCAATAAGATGGGAAAATACAGATTGTGGTATGTCTATGACACGACATATCCTGATCATAGTTGTCAGCTGCTGACTTCCTTTATACACATTCATACAGAAAGATTACTATGTAACATTCCTTCCAAACTAAATAAAGTTTTGAAATCGTATTGGAATTCTCTTGTTATTTGAAGGAATACGCCTTAAATTATTTTTTCTCCGATAGGCAGCAAATATTAATTTTGCTGACACATATCAATCAGCAAAGTATTATACTTTCCCTGCCTAGGCAGCAAAGTGGTTACTTTGCTGATCGATATGTGTCAGCAAAATTAATAATCCATAAATCTTTTATAATTTCCTTCATATTTCATCCGAGACTTCTCCGGCAACAAATTCAACTCTATATTTTTTGCCACCTCCCTAATTTCTGGAGGTGTAAGTACTTCCAGGTCGCTATCACTGTCCATTATATAATAATTTAAATATACCGATATTTTTTCGCACGACTGTCAGAAATTTCATGAATTGTCAAACTATAATTATTATGGACATTTCCATAGCAACCAACCAATCCAACAACTGCGATTTCTATCAAATTTCATTTTAATTAAACACTACAGGAAAGATGAAGATATATATCATTATGAACAATCGGAGAAAAATTTATATGTTCAACTCGGCAGCAAAGTAGATTGACTGCCTTAGCTGGATTCTTAGCCTCGCTACGCTCGGCTATGAATTCAGCCTCGGCAGTCAATCTAGTACTTTGCTGCCTAGTTAAACAAATAACTATTCCATCACTTCGCTCCCTGTACTTTCGCCAGATTCCTTGGATACACACTGTAGTTCCTCAGGAATAACTTCTGTTTCGCCGATAGCAGGATCATTTATGATGAAATCTTGTAATGGTTGATCTTGGCTCGATTCCGCACTGATGCCGACTCCGCATTGCTAGCACGAGGTCTTATTTGATCAGCATGCTTTCTTTTCGGTGTTCCGTTTATGTCCACGATATAAGAGTATGGTGCCGTTTGCATGACTATGTTACCAGGAAGAGATCCTTTCCGTAAAGCATTGTTAACCCGAACTGGTTGTTGATCTTCGAAACTTCGTGTTCTGACACCCCGATCATGATAGAGTTTCTGTTCCCATTCTGATTGATCCAGGTTCCTGGCAATGTCTGGCTTGAGCTGATCAAAAAGAGTCCTTGGACGTTAATTCAGAATAAGTTCACTTTGAGTTCGGCCAGTAGATCTTTGAACAGTGTTGCGATACGCAAAAAGGAAATGATTCAGTCTATGTTTAATGTCTAACGTCTTGTCACTTGCAGACATTCGTTCTCTGAATGTTCGAGCAGCTCGTTCGGCTTAAACCATTCGATTTTGGGTGATATGGCGTCACTAATATGTGAGAAATGTTTTTCTGACAACAAAACTGATTGAAGTCGATAGAAGTAAGTTGTAGTCCATTATCGGAAACAATGAATTTCGGAAGTCCAAATCGGGCGAATACTTTATGTCAATGCGCCAATTGTTTTCTGTGTCGTGATGTTCTCCATGGAAATCACCCTTAACCATCGTGTATAAGCATCGATTATAATAAGCCACATTTTCCCTTCATAGGGACCAGCAAAGTCAATATGAATTCGAAACCATGGTTCATGCGGGACATTCCATGGATATAAAGGAACACTTCTGTCATTTTGCTTCGATTCTTGATAAGTAGAACACGAATTCATATGGTTAACTAGATCCATATCTATATTTGGCCAATAAATATATTTTTCTACTCACATAACTAAAATGGCATTCAGCGTACGGATATGTACCACGCTAAATGATCGATCATGATTAATCACGGATTGTCAATCTGTGATTTATTCAAAATATTAAACACGTTACCATGGCAACACCATTTCTTAAACACATTACCATGGCAACGCAGTTCATTAAACACAGCTTCATTAATTCGAGACATGTCTGGCCTGTCAATTGTATTAACTGTCAACTGTTATTTTCGAATTTTGTATCAGAATTATTCAAACAATATTCGTTTGTATCAGAATTCTTCATTGAAAATATATGCGAAATGTAGACGAAAGAGAAATCGAAGAGAATGTTCGCCTGGTACTTGCATATCTCCAAGAAGTGTAAAAATGAAGCATTCATCTTTGAGAACAATTTATTTATTCTGCTCTAAGCATGACAATAAACGTGAAACAAAGGTTAGTAAGCAATGGACTGGACACATCTACAACCAATATCACTTATACGTGTCTCCCTAGTTGCATGCAGTTGCATGTATTATGTTCTCAATTCCCATTCCTTTCGAATTATTTTGTAGGTAAGCAGGTATAGCAGGTATGTTAATGTAATTTTTTCGGAGTTCGTAGAAAAAGCATAGTATGTAACGCGTTTATAAACTCTTCTAGACACTCGTTTATTAAACACTCGCTCCGCTCGTGCTTAAAATACTCGTTACTAAAAGGCCGTTTATAACACTTGTTACATAATATACTATTTTGGCCTGTAAATTGAATATGGTGCACATACAAAGTATTCCAATCTTCCTATCATTTCATAACTAGTTTTAAAGTGCATGAGATATCTGGGAAGTTTGGGTTTGGGATCACACGTTAAAAGGTAAGGCCCCCGTCATTCCTTGCTCGCACAAGACTTTCGAAGACTTTTGAGGGTAAGTGGGCAACCGAATGACGGATAGAACAATTCATCTAGTTGTTAGGAGAAATACCACTCTACTTTA